TGCCCATCACGGAAAGACACCTTTCCCACTGTGGATGGTTGTTTTCCCCTTTTAACAAGGCTTCGGGGAGGATGGGGGCATAATAGGTGTTTAATAACCGAGTATAACAGCAGTTGGTGCTCGGTGCCCTTTCATAAAAGAAGTTCAAAGGCACTTTGACTCAAACACATAATGCCCCTGCGAGCTATGAAGGTACGGGTATCATTATCCCCATTTACAGTTGGGGAAAGTAAGGCAAAGGGAGGTTAATTAGCTTGCCCAAGGTCAGAAGAGACAGGGAAAGGGTGGAGGATTCAAACTCTGCAGCAGCCCGCGAGCTAGCTCGGGCCACCCTAACAAACCCACCCACGCCAGGCTCAATGAAGATCTTTCTTCTTCTCGATTATTTCTGCTGAGAAGCAGTATCTAATATTGTGCTTAGAGTTCACGCTCATAAGACATTCTTCTGGGTTTGAATCTGATCCTGTTCTCAACTAGCTTGACCTCAAACAAATTACTTAACCCTTCCAGGCCTCAGCTTCTGAATATATAACATGGTAATAATGGTGTGTATCTCAGAAACTATAGTAAGGAGTAAATGAGACGATGCATGTAAAATACCAATATCATTCATTTTCTCCTTTTCTAAATGAGCACATATCACTCTCATGAAAAAAAATTTTAAAAAAAACAACAATTACATGAGGAAAAGGTTGCACCCACCTTGGGTTTAGTTTTTACAAGGCTACAAATGACATACGACTAACAGGCGTTTTGGATTCTGCCAATGAAATGCCTCAGGACCCTGAATGTGACTTGCAACACAAAAGTCCTATTTGATTCCCACTTACTCCTGTTGGCCTCTCAAGGTGAAGAGCAAGTGGCATCTGTGGACTCTGACAAGGGGATGCCTGAGTGAGGGCTTGCAAAGCTAGCCGATGCACCCAGCTTCCAGAGGCCAACTCTGGATTCCTGGCAAGCTGAAGCACCGGGTTTGAAATGCCATTTCTCTGAGTGTTCTACTGAGCTTCCCAACTCCATTCAGCCCAGACCAAAGACAGCTCATGCTTTCTAGGTACCACCATGTTCCTGGTCAAGTGACCCAACAGGAGTTGTTCAGAGGTGACAGTGTAACTCAACCCTCTATAGAGGACTTGGTGAGACTCAGCAGGAGACTGGAAGAGAAGTCGGGTGGGGAAGGAAAGCTGCCCAGTCGATCCTGGTGGACCCCCAACAAAGACACTGGGACACATTTGTGTGGAGGTGTCCTTGGTGCACATATGAAGAACAGCAGCCAAACTCCAAGGTTACTTCAGAGTCACTGCCAAGATATGACGCTTTAGGTCATGCAGAGGGTGAGCAGAGAACATAGGACATGCCACTATTATAGGACAAGATGCTAAGATGGCAATGCTCATTCATTCAACTCAGGAAATGTTTACTGATTACCTACAGACTCTGGGGAAAAGAAGGCTCAGTGGAATAGGCAGGACACACAGACACATACTTGGACCTTCGCTAACCTAGGCCACATCTCCTGGGTATCAAGGCCAGAAAAATGAGGAACCTGATGGGAGTAAACTCAACACTGCTGGCTGGCCTCCTGGCCTCCAAAAGCCTTCCCAGGACAAGGAAAGCCCACTCACTGCTCCTAGCATCCTGCTCTTTCTCCTAGGATGGACCATCAGAAGAAGTTCCCATGGCATACCTTCCCACTGTGCAGAAAAGAACATCTGGGTCTCCATTCAAAGGCATCTCCTCAGAGCTAGCTAAAGTTATGACCCTCACCCGCATCCCAGTCACTCTCCATCTCACTGCCCTGCTTTCTTCTCCCTGTATCTCTTTTCACCATGCTAGGTTATTTTGTCCACTTGTTCACTTGTTTACTGCTTGTCTTGCCCACTAGAACATAAACTTCACTAGACCAAGTATCTTGGCTATATCCCAGCACCTACAACAGTGCCTGGCACATAGTAGGTGTTTATTAAGTCATTCAACTCAATAAATGTTTACTTAGTGCCTACAAAGTTTAGGCACTGAACTGTAACAGTAGACAAAACAAACAAACAAACAAAACCCCCCCACACAAAATCTCTGCCTTCAAAGAGCTTCAATTCTGTTGGGAGATAAGATAAATAATAGTAAAATAATAGCTGCTACCTCAACCAAGCAGGTACTCAGTGCTCCATGCTGTTCTAAGCATCTGATCGGTATTACTTAATTTAATCCTCCCAACAACCCCATGAAGGAAGTATTATTAATTTATAGGTGGGGAAACTGAGGCACAGAGAGGTTAAGTTACTTGCTGAAAGTCACACAGCTCATAATGGCAGAACCAAGATCCAAACCCAGATAGCCTTGGTACAAAGTCTGTGCTCTGATTAAGAGCTACACTTCATATTTGCTGAGTGTTGACTAACTCCTTGGTCAGCACTCTCAGCAGCTGCCCACTGTAGGCAGGGCTGGAGAGCGAGCAAACCCATCAAGGCAGGGCTGCCCTGCTCTCTGTGCTCAGTGAGATGGAGACTGCCGGGTTTACCGCTGTGCTGCACATCTGAAATGAACATGAGGCAGCATCCAAAAGGATGCATGGTCTGATGAAAACACAGGTACAGAGTCAGGATTCCTGGGTTCTAGTTTTTGGTCCTATGAAACACCCAGGCACATCAACTGACATATGATGAGTTTACTTTTTGTAAATGCTGTGAGAGATACAAAGATGAATCCAATAGAGATCCTGCTGAAATAGAGGTAGAAAGCGGCAGATGCCGTAAGAAAATGTACAAACTGCTATGGGATTTCAAGAGTTATTCAGCCTCTAGGGGCGACAGGTGCCCAACCATAAAAGAGGGGCTGGCCTACATAATCCCCAGAGTCCTCTAGTTCTGACGTGTTCTGATAGCACAGACTTGGAAGGCATTGAGATCAAGTTTTATTCTAGTTCATGGTTCAAGCTCATGGCCACTGAGTTGTAGTTCTCCCACATATCATGAGAACAATCCCAATTTCTTTGGGCAACATCTAAGAGCAGCGGAAGGGCAGGCAGGTGTGGGAACAAAGCCCAACGTGCTCTGCCCTCCTCCACCTCTCACCGGTTTTTAAACCCACAAACCCTCTTCCATCAAGGAGGAGGTGACCTTTCTGTGAGCATAACGTGGAGACAACTCCTTATGCACCTTGTTCATGTCTGTATCCCTAGAGTCTAGCACAGTGCCTGGCTCACAACAGGTGCCGAGTAAGGTTTGCTGAGCTAAACCTGAGCATGGTCAGGTCTAGAAGTTCTCTGCTAGACATATAAATCTCAGTCGGTGTTCCCTGAAGTTTTGTTTAGAGCTCTCTGCCTCTCCCAGGGGGAGCAGACAAGTTGCTTGCTATTCAAGACACTTCGCTTCCACTGTTACCACCCTGGTTCTCCAAGCCACCATCATCTCTTGCCTGGCAGTTTGTCTCTCAACTGGTACCCTTGCTTCTGTTTGAGTCTTACAATCCAGTCCCAATATAGAGGCCAGAACGATCTTTGAAAACTTATACCAGATCTTATCACTTCTCTGCTTAAAATCCTCCAATGGCTTCTAACTGCACTTGGAATCCAATCCAAACTGGTTCTTCCCATCTACATAGCACTTACCGCTATGGAAATTATTTTGTCTGCTTATTTGTTTACTCCCCCCTCTTTAGAATGTCCTGCTACAGGAGGGCAGGGGTGTGTCTATCTTCACCATTGTAGTGCCAGGGCTTGGAATGGTGCCTGCCACAGAGTAAGCACTCGCTATTGAATGGATGAATCTGCATCCCACAGAGGCAACTTGTATTTACAAGGACCACAAACTCCACCAGGAAACCATGAATGACACACTGGCATTTACTAGCTGGCACCTTTATTTACGATTCAGAGTCCTGCTTTAAATCAGAGGAAACTTGGTATCTCTGGACACTTTAATGGCCTAAGAGATCAGTATCACTTAGGGTCTAAAGCCAGGAACGAGAGCCCAACAGTTGTAACAGGGAGCTCAGAGCCAAGGCACTTGGAAACAGAACCTCAGGACAAACTCTGACTTGCCTCTGGGTCCCTGACCGACACACCCTGTGCCTCAATTTACCCAGCAGTCGGCCAGGCACACTTCCCTAAGTCCTGTGAGTGGCAGGAGACAAAATAATTAATAGCTATAGCATACTTAGATCCTCAGATAAGAGGTGCTGCAAGCCACACATCTCAATATTCATAAAACTCTTGATTTGCTGCCAACGCAGGCCTCCTCGGCCTTCCCAGGGGCTAACCTGACAGCAGGCACTGCTCGGACAAGTTCAGCACACAAGAGAGGGAGGCATGGGAGGCCTAACAGGTTGGGTTCCTAAAAGGAACCTGCTTGGTGTGGGGGTGATGAAAAGGCGGTGAGAAGTGCAGTGTGGGGCTCTAAGTGGTTAATTTTGCAGGCTCACATATACAGCCGGCCATACAGGTGAGACATGTGCCTACAGTGTGCACTTTACCTTCCAGGACCGCTCACCAGAAGAGGTGGAATGGGGAGAGGGCAGTTCAATCAAAGTACAGGCAGGAAGAGCTGCCCAGTGGCCAGACCTTGGAAGCCTTTAGTTTGGGGAAATACGGAGGTGCTCTATACACGGGGTCAGGATGCTGAGACTGAGGCTCAGGTGAGGGAAGAGACAAGAGGTCGCCGTGGGACCTGGAGTGCTGACAGACGATGACAACCACGCCGACGCGGTGAGATGAGCAACAGAGTGGGTGGCTCAGACACCTGTGGAAGCGACCCCCGGGAGAAGGTGAGGACGCCTGGAGGGTGATCTGCGGAGCGGGCGGCAGGAGGCAGCGGCGGCCCAGCCGGGCGAGGAGGCCTGGTCCAAACCCGGGCGCCGGGCCGGGGGCCCAGCTGGTGCGTCCGAACGGGGTCGGGGGCGCCCTCTGCGGCCCCTCCCCGGGAGACAAAGGGCCGGCGGCTCCCCCAAGCCCGAGCGCGGCGCGGGCCCGGGCGCTACAAGCGCGGGCTGGCGTCGGCGCTTACCTGGGCCGCCCGACCCGGCCTGGCCGGCGGGGGCTGCGGGTCCGTGCGCAGCACGCGGCGGCCTGTTCCGGGGCGCCCTCAGCCTGAGCAGCCGCGACGGCGGCGGCGGCGGCAGCAGCAACGGCAGCAGCAGCAGCAGGAACAGGAGCAGCAGCAGCAGAAGCAGCAGCAGCGGGAGCGGCCGCTTCAGCCTCCGCCTCCCGCTCCGTGAGTCACCGCGGCGGGGAGGGAGGGAGGCGCCAGGCCGCCGGAGGAGGGACCGGCGAAGGGGGCGGCATCTGGCTCCGAGCGGGTGGCGGAGGCGCGGCCAAGGCAACGCCCCGGGGATGGAGGGGCCGCTGAGGGCCGGGCGCCGGGGCGGGGCCTGCGGGTGGGGGCGGGACCCGCTCAGGTGGGCGTTCATTGGTTACATCGGTCAGTTGGGCGGGGCTTCCTGCTGTGGGGTGGGAGCGGCGGGGAGCTAGGGGACGCTCATTGGGCTCCTCGAGAAAGGGGCGTGGCCATGAACCCGGGGCGGAGCCACGAGATGGGCTAGTTGTTGAACAGGGTCGCCGGTAGCTGCGGAACCACACTCGGAGCAAAGGGGAGGGGCGGGGCCGGAGGTGGGCTGGGGAGGAGGGGCGGGGGCTCGAAGGAGGAGGTGGCCTGAGGGCGGAGCCCCAGCTAAGGATCGAGCTGGCGCTGAGGTAAAGCAACTTTGCCTGTCCCTCGCTGCTGCAGCACAGTGGTCCCGTAAAAATAATGGCCTCTCCCACACATGGGTCTGTGTTTAAAAATGGGAGCTGGTAGACCCGGCGGAATCCTTGGTGAGTCCGGTTTACCCAGGGCCCCTGAAAAATCTGAAATGGATGAGGTTGCTGGACATTTAGAGGCGTGGCCTCCCTGAGTCTTGGAGCCGGGAACACTGCTACCTTTGGAAGCAGTTAGGCCCGCTCTTGAAATGGGGGCCGTCTAACCTGGGATCCACGGAGCCCAGAGAGCCCCGGCATGGGCCTCCGTGGAACCGTTAAACTAGAATATAATGTGTATTGGTAGTGAGTGCATTTTGTTGGGGAAAGGGGTCCACAATTAAAATGTTTCTATAGAAAGTCTGATTCTATCTGTTATCAGGCTCTCTCTGGAGAGAGTACAGGGAGAAGCAGCCCTTTATAGGCAAAATGCCAATTGCTTTGAACACCCACCATCCCCTTTATTTTTATATTTTTTTAAAGATTTTATTGGGGAATTGGGGGAGGGGAACAGAAAAGTTGCTGTCCTTTTGCTCTTCAATCTAGTTGTGGAGGATGTTGCTTCACTGGCCCATGTTGGTATTATCATTGTGCTCTTCCTGGGTGAGGCAGATCTGTCGCTGGCCTCTGGACGGCCGCTCATGGCGGCTCTTGGCAGCTCACACTGGCTGCCAGCCACACACGGTGGCTTATGGAAGCCCACTGCAGCAGGGGCTGCAGCCTACGCCGTGGCCAGCAACTCAGGGCAGCCCAGCTCCAGGTTGAGCTGTTGTTCACCATCTTAGCTGTAGAGGGCAGTGTCGCTGGCCCTCATGTGGGATCCGAACCGGGGCTCTCTGGCGTCCCAAGCCAGTT